TACCATAGTCTTGGTCCCTTTCTTAGGAAGGCCAGTTTAAATAACTGAATAATACAGACAAAAATGGAAGGTAGCTAGCATGCTTGTGGTCACATTCCCTTTTGCCAATTGCTCCCTGCAGTTTTTACCACACAGTCTTCATAAGGACTCAGAATTCTTATTAATATCCTATACCAGGGAGCCACTACCAATTCAACAGAACCGGTAAGAGTGGAGAAATGTACTGGCCACTCCTGTTCTAGATAGCTATTGCGTATCTTCTACCTTCATCACTGGAAAATAACTTCTGTTCAGCATATAAGACTCATAGTGCTCATGAAGCTGATGGTGTAAGTCTTTCCAACTTCTAAGCCAGGAGATCCAAAGATATGGGCTCTACATGTGATATTTCTATCTGAAAATATAAAGGCTAAACATTAAGATATTTATCTACAGGCTTGCTACTTCAATTACAGTCCTTGGACCAGCAGCACCCGCAGCACCGGGAAGCTTCTTACCAACGCAGAATCTCAGCCCCCTTGCCAGACTTACTGAATTAGATTCTTCATTTAAAGATCCACAGGTAGTCACCTGCACATTAACATTTGACTAAAGGACACACAGCAAAACACATTTTTTTCTCTCCAAATAGCCTATGACTTTCACACAGGTAAATATCAACACTCTGGATTTAATAACATAGTTCTTAGTCTGTCTATATGCAGGTTGTGTATCCTTTTCATTTGAATATACATAGGGTATGTATGTTCTAATATCTAAGAACCCATGCATAAAGTTCCAGTGATAAGAAATACACTATTAGGGTTCATAACAATTACTAAGGATTTTAGAAATGTCTTTTCACTTAATACTACAAACATTTCAGAGAAGTACCATTTTATAACAGAAGAAAAAGTGGCTAACATATGTATCTAAGAGAATGCTAGTTTTAAAAAAGAAAAAGAAATCTATGCATCCACCTTTCTAAATGTTTTACTTAACTACAATGTTTAGCTTTAAAAAAAAAAAGTTAAAAACCATACAGTAAATTTTAAAAAATGAAAGGCCAGGTGCGGTGGTTCACGCCTACAATCCCAACACTTTGGGAGGCCAAAGTGAACCATCCTGGCTAGCACGGTGAAACCCCATCTCTACTGAAAATACAAAAAAAAAAGAAAATTAGCCAGGTGTGGTGGCAGGTCCCTATAGTCCCAGCTACTTGGGAGGCTGGGGCAGCAGAATGGCATGAACCCAGAAGGTGGAGCTTGCAGTGAGCCGAGATCGTGCCACTGCACTCCAGCCTGGGTGATATCTCAAAAAATAAAATACAATAAAATAAGGAAAATTTAAATTTTAATTAAAGTTATCAGTGAACATTACTATTGCAGTGAAAGACTAGATAGAACAGTTACTTAAGAAGACAGCAAACTGGTACACTGGCTCATGTCTGTAATCCCAGCACTTTGGGAGGCCAAGGCAGTAGGATGCCTTGAAGGAGTTCAAGACCAATCTGAATAACAGAGTGAGACCCCCATCTCTACCAAACACAAAAACAAACAAACAAAATTAGCTGGGTATGGTACCGCACATCTGCAGTTCCCGCTACTCAGGAGGCTGAGGTGGGAAGATTGCTCAAGCCCAGGAGTTTGAAGCTGCAGTGAGCTATGATCATGACACTGCACTCAAGCCTGGGTAGCAGAGCAATACCTCATCTCTTAAAAAAATACTTTTTTTCTAAAGGTAGCATGGTAGAGGTTAAGATATTTATCTACAGGCTTGCTACTTCAATTACAGTCCTCAGTATCTCAGATAAGGGCATCAGTCTAGTGTGATCCTCGTATTTCAGGGTCTAGAGTCCTTAATTTTGGAGTTTCAGAAAGAGTTGACTTTGGGACTCCATCCAGAGCTGATTAGCTTCACAGAACTGGCTTAAACTTACTCAACTCTCAGAAATCGCTGCCGGGGGTTGGGGAGACCTTTTCAATGGCAAGTAAATGTACACCTATCATCTAAAAAGCCAAATCCTTAGTATTAGAATGCCTAGAGAGAGGAAATAATCAAAAGCTAGAGGAGCCAGATGTCCATGTAGAGGGAGATATGTAACAAAAACAGTATCTTGAGGCTCCACTTTCCTAGGGTCCATGTATTCACTTACTCTTCCTTGAACAAAGTCTCTTTAGACAAGGAACAACAAAATCAATTAACCTTTAGCTTTCTTAGTACAAATTCATTCTGGCCTTCCAATTGGAACTGGGCAGTCCCAAATGTCTGCAGCCACACATTTATAGGCAGCCCTTCCTCACTACAATTGAAAACCTCACCCAAGTTGTGTTGATTTCTAATAAGATATTCATTCATTCACAAAAGACAACCAACCTTCTTTCTAGGTTCTGGAGATACCTACTTGACCCTTTACATATCTATCACATAGCTAAAATCTCACCTTATATTTTATAATGCTGCAAGTATTTTTCTAATGATGAGTTCTGGAGAGGATTCATGTACTCCATAACTCAATTTCTTAGTGTTCTGACAATAGCTAAGAACCATGTCATGTATGTTTGTATCTCATCTTGTTGAAGTCTAAAACATAAAAGCAATGATATTCTGAGGTTCCTTAGAAGAGAAATAGGTGGCACTGTTAAGAGTTAGGAGATTATAGGGAAGGGGTGTTGCAAGGTAAGAACTCTTTTTCCTGAACACAGTGTGTAAACCATCATAAAGGACATGGGACCTTTATTAATATCCCCCCACAAGGCGGATCCTGGCTATGTTTCTGGTTTGGACATTAGTCTATTCATATTCTTCATATTTGAGTATTTAAAAGCAGAAAAGTGAGAGATTTCCTGAAGAATTCAAGTCAACTTCTTTGAAAGTCTTGCTCGGTATTGATAGCTCATTGTCTAACGTACTAGGAGCCATCTGTTCAGTCATAAATAAGGGAAGACCAGATCAAATGCAGATTAGAAGTCATTGAGTATATGTGGGAAGCAGAGGACATCAGATTTCTGATTCATCTGTGCATATTATAACTTTTATTTACCCACCACAATAGCTCAATTAAATTACCTGAAAGCAAAAACTTTTAACCAAAAGAAGTCTCACTTTAGCAACTGTCATAATTGCCTTAAGAAACAATGTCAAATAACATTACACAGGCAACTCTTAATTAACCATGTGAAGAGAGCCCAGGGATACAGGAAAAATTGGTATTCACAAGCAATCCTCAAACTTCATTTCAACTGGGAGCTGAAATGACTAAACCTCTTCCCTCAGCATGGAATATAGCAAAATTAACTGGTTAAATGTTTAACTGTGTATCCCCTGACTACCCTTTCGTTAAAATACAAAATAGTAGTCAGTCAAGCAAAGAAAGAAGAAAAGTAAATGGGTTGGATAATTCACACAGTGGATAGTAAAATCCTAAAAAGTTATAGTTGCTTATATGTGTTAAAGTTCCAATAAGTGTGATTATTTGAAGAAGTCTTTGTAAGACAGGTTTGCAAACTGCTACATCTTGGCAGGTGGGACTCAGTGAGCTCCCTGCAAATTAAGTAAACCTGATTTTCATTGCTGAAAGTTCTGTCATGTTAGACTCCTACCATTTATTTCACAAAGATGTTTGCAAAAAGTTACCTGTCAATCTCATGTTAACAATTAAACTATGTGTTTACGGAAATAATTTTAATGCAAACAAAATTACAAGATGCCTGGTTACCATTCAGTAGCGAGGGCACTGATATAGATACGCTTAGGAAGAATTATGAAAATCGCTGTTAAAGAGGAATATTACTGGAAAAGACAGCCTGTTAGATCTATGAAAACAGTATAAAACCTCACTTATGACAACTAAAGCACCCACATATTTCTTTCAAATTGATTTCAAGCGATTCGAATTTCTATTCCTGTAAAAGTCGTTTTGGCACCCAATAAAATACTACATATGTTCTTTAATCTTTTAACTAAATTCTTCACAGCTCTCTGTAGTGTGGATGTGTACTGAGGCTGAGTCAGGACAGGTTAATCGGCTTGTCAAAGCTCACAAAATGAATCATTGCTAGATTTCTGAAATCTTGAATTAAAGCTGGGGAGGATTACAGTTGGACAAAAAAATAAGATTTGGCAGATTTTGGAGTTTCCTTGGTATCTTTAAGAACTGAACAGATAATCATCTCTTTCTTACCGCCTGAATAAAGGACTTAGATGTCTTTTTCTCATGAACCCTCCCCGTCTCCCTAGTAGGGATTAATCTATATAACTAGAGGAAGGGAGTTCTAAAGCCTTAGCACAAGAAATAGTGGACCTAATTATCCACACATGGTTATTCAATTTTTCTGTTACTTCCGATAAAAATCGTTAATCACTATCTGCTTTCTTCTTAACATCTCTGAGCTGTGTAGTTCACCAGATCATTATTTGCTCAAGGAGAAAAAAAAAAAAAAAGCAACTATACTACTATTATTATTAAATAGTAAAACTTGGAACTACCCAGGAAGATAATGCTATCAAAACTAAGCATTTAAGCATTAACTGGACCATCCAACTGGATCGTGGGTTGGGTATTCTGAGCTTCAGCTTCTAAATGTCCAATGGCAGAGGTCTTTCCCTGGTCTCCTAACGTTTCTCCGTTGAATTTATTGGGACGGCTTTCTGAAAGATTGAGGGCTTACTTAGGAAACCCATTATTTGCAAGGAGGGTTGAAGCAATTTGTTGTGCTGCCTTAACATAAAAAGCAACCCGTCATCCAAAATGTACTGAGTGGTTACTAAGTATGAGGCCTTGGAAGGTCTCCCAACTCTTCTAACAGGTACGGGACACCCTGAGCTACTAAGGGCGAGAAATTCAGTGAGTGGCTCTTAGGAAGACTGCGGTGGCAAAAACAGCGCCTTGAAGTCCAACAAAGTCTCCTCCGGAGAGTGGCCCCAAGGCTCAAAAGGCGCCCCCAGTGGGAGGCCCTCGCCTTCCTCCCAACACCCATTACCGGACAGCGCAGCAAGCCGCGCCTCCACGGGAAGGATACGTTCCAGGTAGTAGGCGCCCTCAGCCGCCACCGCGTCCGCCGTGTCCCTCGCGTCCCCAGCTGCCGTCAAACCCACGCCCAACGCCTCTTCCAGCACCCTTACGGCGGAGCTCGGTATCCCTCCCTGAGCAGCCATCTCTGGCGCTCCGAGCCCCCTCCACCGGCCGGCCCACAGCTGTCCCTAAGGGCAACAGCGAAGACGCTGCCCAACGGCCCCAGGCAGCTCTCGCGAGATCCCGGCATCTCTCACCCCGCCCCACGGGAGCCCGGGGCACGGAAGGGTTGCCAGGAGTCCAAGTAGCTGTCGCACTCCCGGGCCTCCCGGTTACCGTGGCAACGTTGTTGCCTAGTTAACGCGAGAGCTCAGGCGCAGCTCTCGGAGCGGACAAGATACAATAAACAATTGGCTTGCATTGCACCTTCCTACCCAAGCAGCTTGGTTTTCTTTCTCTTTGACCCTATAATTTCATTCCCACTTCGTTGTCGTCTCTGAATTACCTTTCTCTTGATTCTTGCCCATTAGCAGTCCTCTAATTTCAGATGTTTGTAGATCCCCAAGTGTTCCCAGGGAAAACTACTAGAAAAGGTGAGTTCTCAACACCTAGAAGTTTTTTAAAAATGAAAAAATAAAGTTCTAGAAATCATAATTGAAAGACTGACCCAGGGGAGCTACCAGACGCTTAGCAATAAAGAACTATGGTGTTCAGCTTTGTCAAGTCCTTTCTTGTGATCTTTAATGCATTTAGCTGGACATCTGTTTTGAGTTTGGTTCCATATACTAAGACTTGGAATAGTATTTGTAGCATTGATTCTCGCCAAGGTAAAAACAGTTGCATAAAAATTATGAGCTACAAATTTGGTCCTAACAAATGTATATAGTTGACACTTGCCCTATCATGTGTAGTCTTACTGCTATGAGAGGATCTTCCTCAGGTTATATTGCGTATGTATCAGAAGCAAATTCAAGGCCCTTTTCCTTGCAAATATTTGTTCTTTTTTATCCCTCTTAATTTTATTTTAGGTTCAGGGGTACATGTGCAGGTAAGCTCATGTCGCAGGGGTTTGGTGTATAACTTATTTCGTCAGCCAGGTACTAAGTGTAGTACCCAATAGTTATTTTTTCTGATCTTCTCCCTCGTCCCACTCTCCTCCTCAAGTAGGCCACAGTGTCTGTTGTTCCCTCTTTGTGTCCATTTCTTCTCATTATTTAGCTCCCACTTATAAGTAAGAACATGCAGTATTTGGTTTTCTGTTCCTGCATTAGTTTGCTAAGGATAATGGCCTCCAGCTCCATTCATGTCCCTGAGAAGACATGATCTCATTCTTTTATGGCTGCATAGTATTCCATGGTATATGTGTACCACATTTTCTTTATCCAGTCCATTGATGGGCATTTGGGTTGAATCCATGACTTTGTTGTGAATATCAATGAACATGCATGTGCATGTGTTTTTATGGTAGAACAATTTCTATTTCTTTGGGTATATACCCAGTAATGGGATTGCCAGGGCGAATGGTATTATTTTTCATTCTACATTTCTTGATGAAAACTGGAAGCCAGTGATCCCATAAAAGCTCCCATTTATTACCAAAAGATAGCAGTAACTTCCTAAGGAGGGGTTTGAGACTTCATGTGTCAGAGCCAGAGAGACAGCTTTCAGAGCCTGCTTCCATCACTTACTAGCTATGACACATTGGGCAAACTACTACTTAATGCCTCTAGGCCCTAGTTTCATCATTTGTAGAACAAAGACAACAATACTACCTACCTCAAAGTGCTGTTGCAAGGGGTAAAGCAACATAAAGCATTAAGAACTTTCCAGGAACATAGAAGATACTAAGAAATGTTAGCTGTTATTTCTATTAAATGTTTGATTTTGTTTATTTTTTAGAATAATCTAGGGTCACAGGTAGATATAATAGTCAGATAATTCATTCCTGGTGCCTATTCTTTTACTACCCTACTCTTTGTCCTTGAGTTCTCACATCACACATTTCCTGAGTGCTCATTAAATGCAAGGAACAATTACAGGAGGCTGAAAATACAGGAGAAGAATTCTGACACTGGAGAATCCACTGCTTTTATAGAAAAGTTGCTCTTTGTTTCAGAAGAAGGCATTACCTCATCTCTCAAGGTTGTTTCCTGTAAATCCAGCCTTCACAAATGACCTGAGTAAGGAGTAGTCAAAGCCTTACATTTTTGGCATATCTAACAAGACATGTAGGAACATAAAAGACACGAAGGAGGATCTCTCAGAACAATTACTGTTTATTTGTTTTTGTTTGTTACAATGGCTCATCATTCTGACATTTTAGATGTAGTGTGTCATCTTCTACAGATGTTTGTCTCCAGCCTCTTCTGTATGACCTTAATTAAGTTCTCTGAGCCTTAGTTTCCTGTTCTGTAAACCAGAGATTTTAATACCTACCTTACTAAAATGTAAAGACTAAACAAAATACGTGAAAAGCACTTATAACCATGTCTGGTATATCAAATGTGTTCAGTAAATAATCGTTAATAAAATTAGCTTAAAATATTGAATGAATATGCAAGCTTAAATTGGGTATTGTATTTTTAAGAAACTTAAACATACAGAAACAATTTAAGATAAAACTTAAATATTTTTAGAAATATGGAGCACTCAGCCAGACACGATAACTCACACCTGTAATCCCAGCACTTTGGGAGTCTAAGGCAGATGGATCACAAGGTCAGGAGATCAAGACCATCCTGGCTAACATGGTGAAACCCTGTCTCTACTAAAAATACAAAACATTAGCCGGGTGTGGTGGCACACGCCTGTAGTCCCAGCTACTCAGGAGGCTAGGCAGGAGAATCACTTGAACCCGGGAGGCAGAGGTTGCAGTGCGCTGAGATCATGCCACTGCACTCCAGCCAGGGCAACAAAGCAAGACTCCATCTCAAAAAAAAAAAAAGAAATAAAGAAAGGAAGGAAGGACAGAAAGGAAGGAAGGGAGGGAGGGAGGGAGGGAAGGAGGAAAAGAGAGAAAAGAGAAAGAAATATGCAGCACTCAAAAAAGGGAAAGAGTTTAATAGGGTCATATAAAATGAATAAATTATGACCAATATCCATTGCTTAATATAGAGGAGAAATGGGAAAAAAATCTTCTCCAAAGAGTTCAAAAACAGGAGACTTATGACTGAAAGAAGTATCATTAACTACACTCCTCAAAAAAATGAAAACTTGTAAGTCTAATTCTATGAAGTTTCAAGTAGCCAAAGTTTTAATTCAGAGTTACTAATTTGATTATATCCATTTCATGGATTTCAAAATTGGAAGTCACCCAAGATATGTGTGGTTCAACTACAATTTGAAACACATTTCACAGGGACCTAAGCAGAAGTGATTTTAAAAATTCCAATTAAAGCTACATTAACATTTTATTTTGTAAACTTTTTGGTCTCCACAATGGTCTGTAAAGCAATGAAATAAAAGCAAAAAATAATTTTAACAAATATAAACAGAACCAATAATTGCATTCAAATAAAAACATGATGCAACCTTTTAGGAAGACTGCTGATATCTTAAAACTAGCATGTATTTTCAAGGAACAAATTTGAAAATAAATGTGTTACATTTGAATTTTTATTCTGTTAATAACTAGTTTAATTAAAAAGAAGTGTGAACGCTTTACTAAGAAAAAACAAAAAATTCAGACCAAAGTGACTGTTTGAGTTATAATGCCTTTCCATCCTATAATATTTCCTTTTTAATATACTGCACAAACTTCCTTGGAGTGGAAAAAAAAATACCTTAATATTTTGATGAATGAACAGCAAACTATCTACTTTCCCTTTGAATGTATTACTGAAAAATATAAATAAAGAAAACCAATGGAGACAGTAGAAATAAAGCAACAACCACAAAAGGCAACAAATTTTATCTCCTCCCAGCCTAAATGCTCCATTTATGTAAAAGTGAAATTATTTTTAAAAGTAAAACCAGAAAGGAAGCTGACAATGGATGTACTCTTTGTATTTGTAGTTTTAAAGCAGAAAATAATTACATGCAATAATATAGTAAAGTAGTATTCAATTTTCATAAGTTATGAGCATTCATTTGCTATAGATAGAGCCCAAGCCATTTACTGATGCATCTTTTTATAAAAGTAACTATCTTATTTTCTTTCAAAACTTAACAGTAAGTGGTGGCCAATTTTAGATTTCTGAATTCATAGAAGTAGTACTAATTGACTATGGTGGAAAATTATCATTTCAAATATACAGCATATATATTTCCCTTTTTCACCAACAACCACTGAAAATTCATTTCTCTAGTGTTCTGAGCCCACATAGTTCAAACAGGGTCAATCCTCTGTCTCTGGCAAGGAACATATGTTCCAGGTTTAACCCAAAAGAATACCTCATTATTCTTGGCTACTGTGATCAGTTCTGAAGTTGGTATGTGTCTTAAAAGGAGCCAAATTAGATTTGGTAAGAATTTGTTGGAAATTTTGGGAGATTCTCACTCTGCCCCTTGGGACTTAGTTCTGGAGTTGCTCCAGTATGATTACAAGAATGAACAAATTATCTATCTAAGCATTCAGTCAGCATGGAAGACCTGAGTGAAGAAAGAGAAAACTTGAGCCCAGATGCAATGACTTGAACCCGTAGCATACACACATGTATTTCTTTGCTCTGTCAGCTGAGAGGGCCTAGAAGCAACAACACCCCCATTACAATGAGCACTTCAGATTTTAGATTTTAATACCATTTGCTAATTAAAAGGATAGAGGGCTCCTTGGAGAGACGGCTGGTTTTAGGGCTTGATGGGGAATAAACAAGATGAGCCTAGAGGATCTTACCATTCCAGAAAGTAAAAAAGATCCTGCCTCTGAAAAAAAATCTCAAAGTGATGGACATAGGTCAAAGGGACACAGCAGCCAATTGTCCTAAGTGAAGCTAGGATGATTTGAGCAACCAAATTAATAAAGTAGTACTGAAGTATAACTCAAAGTATAAAATAAATATCTGTGAGTCCATACTGATACAAATAGATGATTAAATGATAAATAAATGAATGGAGAAGAATGGACAAATCTCCTGTGATGAATAATTTCAAGTAATTTATGTAGATACTCTACATTCCAGGAGATGGAGCATAGCTGCACATTCCTTAAGTATAGACTACACATAGTGAGTTTCTTGTATAGTAAAATCCCAACTTGACAGTGCAGAAAGCTGATAAACACCACCTCAC